GGACGGGTAGTAGCATGCAATAGGTAGACGAGACCATTCCGCGCTTTAATACCTTAACGGGGGTGGGAAGGGTAGATATGGATATGATGACCACGCGATAATGTCACCTGTAGCCCCCATTGAGGAGTGATTATCGGGCATTGTGTGGGGTGATCCATATTATTAATAAATGTAGGACCCCTCTCCCTTTATTCTTTATTTCTTTCTTTTCAGCATTTTAACTCTTTATTTTTAAAATCAGCTTTTCTAATTATTCTTTCAAACATTGTTTACTTTCAAACCTTTATGTGATGAAATCTCCTCTTATTTGAGCCCTATTTGTTTATATGCTAATTGTACCCGAATTCACAATGATTGTCTGGCCGGGAACCACACCAGTGGATTCTGAGGGGTGCCTAACACCTTTCCCTTATAATAATTTCAAGCCCTTACCCTATCTCTGGTTATTCAAATCAAAATCTCCTTGGTGTCCTAATGCACCCTAATCATTAGGTGGCGTATCTTCAAATCAAACCCAATTCCCAAAAGGAATGAGTTGTCCTCCCAAATGTCACAAACCCGATTTCGCGAGAAAAAGGGGGCGCGACACCTATCACATCTGAATGACCTCAAAGTTTACGCACAAGTCAGACATGACACCACGAACCTACTCCAAATTTCAGATTTCCATTCCGACCCCGATATCAAAATTTCCACTGCCGACCCAAATCGCCAAAATTTCAACTTTCGCCAATTCAAGCCTAATTCTACTACGGACCTCCAAATCACATTCCAGACGCGTTCTTAAGTCCAAAATCACCTAACGGAGCTAACGGAACCATAAAAATTAAAATCCGAGATCGTTTACACATAAGTCAACATCCGGTCAACTTTTCCATTAAACCTTCTAGCTGAGAATCATTTTTCTAAATAAATTCCAAGTAACTTGAAAACAAAAACCGACGATTCATAAGTCATAATACATCATACGGAGCTACTCATGCCCTCAAACATCCGAGCAAAGGGCAAACTCAAAACGACCGGTCGGGTCATTACATCCTCCCCCACTTAAACATACGTTCGTCCTCGAACGTGCCCAGAGTTGTTCCAAAAGTCATCAAAACGCCATGTAACCTTACCATGCACTTACCTGGGGGTGATCCCATGTCACCCTATCCCAGAAGGTCTGATAACACAACATGGCTGAAATTTCTTAATCCAACATAGCCCATAAGCCTTAGAATCCAATTTCCACATCCAAAATTTTCTATAAGATCAGAATCTCGCATCCACACACTGTATAAGTCTGAACAAGCTGTATCCAGCCATAGCCATAACCCAAGATGAAATCATATGATTTACCACATAACTCAAACACTCACAACGATGATTTCTAATCACAATAGCTGCCCAAAACAACGAAACGCTGGTAATAAACCTCTTATCAAACAGAGCCTCGTTCTAACACCTTCATATACTGCCAACGATGAAAGAAACACGCAACAACTCATAACCATTCATCAGATCAACCAGTTGTGGAACTCCCTCTCCTTCGACAAGAACTATAGCCAATTTCTAAGCCGATCAGCGACATTACCCTTTTAAATATACCGCAATCAAATCCGATAGCACCCATTCTAGCTCCGGCGACCTCATCTTATCAAATACAAGCTACTTTACTGACATGCCATACCGATACTACCTAGAGCCACAAATTGTGAAATCCGTGCACCAAACGCAACAATTCAAACGTACTCAAACATAGAAAATGACTTCAATGAGAGAACCGTCCTGCAAGCTCAACCTGTACCACCACAATGCAATGCTAATAACCCGTCACACATCGTAGAACCAAAACACACGAATCTAACACAAAGGATCATATCCCAACATAACTTCGCTGTAATGCACGATCCCATCCAAACACTGGTCCACATGAAATACTTCAAGTCAAAATGCTAAAAATCAACAATCACTCGCAATCTGACGTCTAGCACCCAAAGTGTATGACCATAACCACTGAGAAGCAAATAACTCAATACCATAGTCCGGAATGAACATAATTAATGTGCAATCAATCATTCAACACCCTAATACCCATCTCGCTCAAATTCTACCATAAGGCCCAAATAGAACCGGACCATGGGTGTACATAACCAACGAATCACAACCCTTCGTAGCATAAAAGGGTAACTCATAGAACATATTAGAAAACGAGTAAGCTCAACTCTAACCGAATGACATATCCCCGATCAACAACAGTACAGGGTAAACCAATCCAACTCGGTGTAGAACACACATCCATATTGGGCCTACCAATGAATCCCAAATCAACTCTGGTCACCCACAATAGATAAATAACCCTAAGAAAGTCCACAATAATTGAATCACAACATATGCTATCTTTTGACTAACCTTGGCTACGTTTTCACAGTCCACAACCACGGAATAATCTACTCATGAGAACTCCTAGTCTCCAAATCCATAGAACACACGGATCACCATATCCGTTCTCAACTCCACTTCCTGAATGTCTAATACTACTCCAATACACGATCATCCCATGAGGAATACTTCTATAATTCTTCTGTGCCTTAAGACAAAATTTGAACACCAGCAGTAGATCAAATAAGAGAGTGCCGCAATACCAATGAAGTATCCATAAATCAAAATACATTGCCCCTTCTAAAATGTATACTCTCATCAAGCCATACCAAGTAGTAGTATCATTTACCTAGTCATCTAAAATTGTCCATGCTGCCTAAGAATTCAGGACCTTCCTTTCAAAACCAAATCGTGACCTTGCACATGCAAATCTCAATCCTACATACCACACCACACCTATTATGCCATCATATGAAAAAGACAAAAATCTCAAGATCAACTCTGAGTCGCAAGCAAACTACATACTCAATTAGCTAAGAATCTTCCATTTGATCCCATCTAGGAGAAAATCACAATACACAACATGCTCCACACACCAGTAGGTAATATACATCTCAAACCGTGGTAGAAACCATCGAGAACTCTTCGAATCCCATTTGCACAAAACCAAACTGTCAGGACTGAAACCTCCTATCTCAACCAAGCTACGCAGGTCACCAAAAACCCAAGAGCATTACCACGAAACACCTGTAGAAATCCACCACATCATAAGCACCCAAAGAACCGATCATATCCATTACCATGCCGATCCAACCTACTACTAAGCTGTCCTATTTATCCGAGTTCCTTCTGAATTACCTTCAAATTGGTACTTCTCTCGCCATAATACCATAATCCTCAACCAAGACTCACCACACGAGACCCTAGCATAAAACCACACCGCCCTAAGGCTCATAAGCCGCTAAATGCTCTCTTAAGCACCCCAAAAGTACCACAACTGAGATACCCACTCTGAAGAGACCTTTTGTGAATTTAAAGTTTATTTTTACCTTTCTGATACTGAATGAAGAATCCATAATGATATAGAAATACTGCGAGTCTCGACACCATCCAATGTAACTCGCAGCTTCTAGCGATATACAAATCCGCAACATTCTCAATTGCCACGTATAAATCTTGAATTCATTAGAACCATTCTCGAGAGTCATCCACTCTGCTCAAATATCAATTAGACTGATCAAACAGACCGAACGACTTATGCTCCATTAGCACTCCAATACCCAAGGAAGTAACCCCACCTTAATGCAACCAAATAAATTCCTGCTCTATGCACATTACATCCTTCACTAATAAAAACTCAAATCATTCAGTGATTATCATATACTCATAAAGCCTAATACAACTCATACCCAGAAATTCCTTTACTCAAGTCATCCTCGATTTCACCCTCTGCTGAGTATAACTCATTCACAAGTATACCTCAAACCGAAACCAATACGACACATCACCTTATAATCAACTTATCAATAGCGGACTCCCCCACTTGGCTCAAAGCCATATATCAAAACACACCATAACTCACAATGTCCATACTTTATTACAGCCATAATACCGCAGTGAGATTCAACTAAATCCTTCACAAGCTCATGTAACACAAACCATCCAGCATCTCGAATCATCTACAAATCTTGCATTCACCCTTGTAACAGTCAAGCTCACTCTCACAAGCGATCCAAACTCAAATTGCAACATGTATATTTCACTGGTAAAAGAGAACTCGCTACAAAACAACATAGGCATCACACAACCCTCAGGACACCCCGTAGGAGATAACCCACCTGCTTTGCCTCAAACTAACATCTTTTTATACCCTTCCACAGTCATAAACATTACGCAATCACTTAATCTTCATACGTCTGAACTCATATCACAACATGAAAGTTTACTTCACTCCTCAACTAAACAACATGAAAAGGATCCTCCATCACACTTATAACTCGAGACTATACGTCAAATCAGGATGGAAATCAAGCACCAAATAGTTCTTTCTACACCTCAAGCAAATACTTCTCGTCACATTCAAATCATATGAACTCATCTCGCAGTCACATCATACTCATCACGTAGCCATCCAGCCACAAATTCCACTAATAGGGACATTACCGGACATATAAATCCACAAGGATGCTCACACAATCAACATCTTTGTGCTAAAGCTACGGTCAAAACCCGAACTCAAGTCCTCCAAATTGGCCCTTCATCAGCATACTAAAAATCACATCTCGCACCTCATCCATGGAATCGCAAGCCGTCGATGCACAGCTGGTACCGAGCGCTCAAGTGCTCATACGAATGCGTGGAAGGAATTCAAAGGATTACGCTTCAAGATGAATCAATACCGCACGATAAGAATTCAAGAATATGAAGTTTCCTAAGGGTTCTGCACCTTCTCGAAGATAAGTACAGACGTCTCCATACCGATCCGTAAGACTCCACTAAACCCGCTCATGACTCGTGAGACCTATGTAGCCTAGGCTCCGATACCAACTTGTCACGACCCAAAACTCAACCCGTCGTGATGGCGCCTGTCGTGGAACTAGGACAGCCTCAACTCAACCAAAACAATACAACGACAATAAGTTTGACAACATTTAACTGAAGCTTTGAACATTTAGAGGAAACTATTTGAACATAATAAGTTCCAAACTAAGATACAATTGCCCAAAACCAGGGTGTCACTAAGTGCATGAGCGTCTAAAGGAAAACATAGTCTATTACAACGTTCAAGGAAAAACCCAGAAATACATCTAGAGATAGAGATGAAGAGTTAAGGCTTGCGAACGCCGTGCAAATACCTCAATAATCTCCCAAGTGTGAAACCTCGATCAACAACCGCCACTGGTCCAAAATTGCCTGAATCTGCACACAAGGTGCAGGGGGTAACGTGAGTACACCAACTTAGTAAGTAACGAGTCCAAACTATGGACTGAATGGTAGTGACGAACTCAACTTCAACAGATATAATAGAATCAATGTACAGAAACGTAGGCATGCTTTCAGTTAAATAGACAGCTCAAAGTGATAAGATAAATATATTTCTGAACAGTTTAAGATATATATAACTCAACTTCTTCTACATGTCAATGCATCAACTGCATGAAATGCACAATGTACTCCCACTCTCAAATGCTCGTCCACTCAGTGTTGTATATGGCTCACACGGCCCAGGGAAGATCCATACCGAATATATACATCTCTAATAGTAGTCACTCAGTATCGAGGAAGGCCAATCCAGCCCTATGGAGAAGATCCATCTCCAGATAATAATAATAACTCACAACCACTCGGTACTGTATATGGCACACACGGCCCAGGGAAGATCCATCCCAGAATATATACATCACTAACCATCAGTCTCCAGTACTGAGGAAAACAGGCCAAACCAGCCTCATGGAGAAGATCCATCTCCATACCAAGGGAAGATCCATCCCTGAATATAATCAGTCGTGCCCACTGTGGGTGTGCAGACTCCGGAGGGGCTCCTACGGCCCAAGCGCTATCATAACCAATATAACTGCTGCGGCGTGCAGACCGACCCCATAACCGTCACTCATAATCAGGCTCTCGGCCTCACTCAGTCATCACTCTCCAGTCTCACCCACAGGTTCACAATGTCATGGAAACTAGCCCGGAAACAATGATATGCTATGCCAATAATAATAACCGAGACTGCGATATGATATGAAATGCATGAATATGACTGAGTACAAGATAACAGTGAAATAGTGAGATGACATCAAGGAATGAGCTCTAGGGGTCCCAACAGTATCGGCATGAAGCCCTAACATGGTATCTAGCATGTTTACAGCTCAATTACTTTATCACATAATGGAAACTCGGATGTCAACAAGGAGTCATTAAACGGTGCCATGGAATGAACCAGGTCACGATTCTCACGGTGCACGCCCGCACGCCCGTCACTTGGCATGTGTGTCACCTCATTACTAACCACATAACACGTACTCCCTCCGTTTCATATTAGATGAGGTAGTTTGACTCGGCACGGAGTTTAAGAAGAAAGAAGAAGACTTTTGAAACTTATGGTCTTAAAAACTTAAGGGGTAAAAGGTCTGTGGGGCCATTCCATTTGTGTGGCTATAAAAGCTTCTCATTAAGGGTAAATGGGTAAAATGAAGAGTTTAAAGTTTGAATTATTTATAAATTTAGAAATGTGTCATTTGTTTTGGTATAGACTAAAAAGGAAAGTACCCCATCTAATATGAAACGGAAGGAGTAGTTCGGGTTTCGAACCCTCAGAACCAAGTTTGAAAGCGTTACTTACCTCAAACCAAGCAAACTCCTACTCCGCAATGCCTTTGCCTCTCGACTCGGCCTCCGAACGTCCCGAATCTAGCCTCGTCACTACGTCGCCGGGATTAGGCTAGACACTTACCAGCACATGGGGTCGGTTGTGCTGATGCTATACTTCTGTGCATTTTTGCACAGGTCCAGGTTTTGAGGAGCAGCAGCAGCAGTAGTACGGGAGCAGGCTTTCATATCACGAGACTGAGGTAGCCTTGCAGGCGTCCGCAGGCCCGGCGTCTCTTCTTTATGTTTTCCTTTTGACTGTTGCCTCATTGTTTTCGAGACAGACAGCTATTATATTTCTTTCAGACCTTTGTATTTAGTTTATTCTTAGTGGTTCGTGAGTAATGTGACACCAAATCTTGGGTAGAGACTATTGTTGACTATTCCGTGTTTTGATTCAGACTTATAAATTAGACTTCTGCTATTGTTATTATTAAATTCCGCATTTCTTTTAGATGCTAAAGATTGTTAACAGACTTATTCATTAATGAAAGGTAAATAAGTTGGCTTGCCTAGCTACCACGAGTAGGCGCCATCACGATCCCGATGGTGGAAAATCCGGGTCGTGACAATTTTCACTATTGTTTAAATTATAAACTATACTGCTTTCTTGAGGATAATACCTACGTTTCTCTTACTCATATAATATTGCAATTGGGACATAGCAGCGAATGCATATGTATAACAAAGGATATTTCATGGTTTTATGGTCAGTAGCATTAAAACATTTAGCATAGAAGCAGATACGATATTTCCCAAATGCAGCTCCTATAGGAACCCTTTACAGCAATATGCATTTGACATTTAAAATGAAAAAAATGACAATTTGGATTCCCATGATGCAACAATCCCACAAAAGTTAACATTGCAAGAACGGGGAAATGAGAAGTTGTAATACAACACAATGTCTAACCACAAGGAAGGTAAAGAATCATTTGTGAGTGAATGACTGGTGTCTCAAGTAATTTCTTCCAAATTAAAATTTTGCATTCACTATTTCTTCATAAGCATATATGCATCCTGACAAACGAGTAGTCCCCCTCCAAACAATCATTGAATTCATTACTTGGAAACATGATCATCATAATTTCCTAAAATAATAATGGAAGATTATACCAAGAAGCTAATGACTTTAAACGTTATGGCAATTCCTCTTAGGATGTTATGGCAAACTAATCTCACCTATCATATTCCTAATTTAAATGAAACATCAATTAAACTTTATAGACCCTTCCATTGTTGTTCAGAACATGGGCATCAAATACCAACACAACGAGAAACATTAGTAAATTGTGTGTGACGGGTATCTCGAATCCAATAGACAAAAATTAAGTGTGTTGCTTTAGCATGATAGTACGAAAATCCTTCCTACAATAAGCACCACCTAAATTTATGACTCTTAGCCTAAAAATCATTATATCCAGAACATATCAATAGACAACTCAAACCAGAAGAAAAACTTAGATAGTGAATATATTTCCCAAACAAAGAAGGTGAAGCAAAGATAAAATACCAAATATTTCTATTATACGGCAAAACATTCACTTTAAGTAAAGCCATCAATTTGCCACAATCAATATCTAGCGAGAGAGATGAAAAACTAAAGTTGAATAAAAAATTAAAACCTAAGTAGTTATCACTGAGCAAATTATACAAGACCACGACTAACCAAGACACTGTAGGTTAACAAGTCATCACTTGCGCTAAAATACCACAAACTTTTGAGATGAATGAGCAAGATACTATATGTTCCAGCGAGTTTCTCCTTTAAGCAAATAGCAATTGGTACATTATATGCTTTTTCATTCTAAAACAGATGAAAACTAAGAAGGTAAACTACCTAGTCATAACCCTCAATATTGAAATAGTCAATTTGGTGTGGGAAATCATTATAACTAGTCTCAAATAGTCATAAAATCATAATTATATTTTTATCGAGCTCTACCTATAACTAATGGATCAACATTTAGTAGGAAAAAAATGTGTCTATAAAGGCAAGAGTTTTCACAGAGTGTCTGCCAGGGAAAATGGAACTTACTCTGAACTGTCGTTTTTGATTCCATTGTAGCTATACGCAAGCATAATCGTCAAGTTAATATCTCCCCTGGAGTAAATTCACCCAAACTGTATGAGAAAAATCAACTATCTGAATTTAACATATGATACATAAAGTAAATCCAAAATCCCCCATTGCACAAAAAAGCCCCAAATTTTCAAACCCCAAAAAGTGAAGCACGCATACACAATAGCAACCCAAGTAAACCCTAAAATTTCAGAAAAACTCACCACTGAAGAGCAAGAAACGGTCAAAATAATTATGCTAACATCAAAAAGGAGAAATGATTAGAGAAAAACCTAAATCCACTTACTCCGCATCAGCCGCTGAAAGAAAAGATTCTCAATAATCGTCAGTCGAACACATTGGCTCAAAATCTAATAGACCCATTGTATCAACGATTGCAGGCCTTAAGGCAGAGAGTGACTCATGGTTTTCTTAAAATGCTCGTATTGAGTCGATTGACTAGGGCTTGGGTAAATTTAGGTTACATTTCTCCGAAAATTATGAAGGAGAGGAGATAAGAGGCGTGAGGGAAGGGAGAAGGTACATCGCCGATTGAACTTAATAGAGCGATGTAATTTTGGAGAGAGGTCATCGACTTCACTGGGGAAAAGCCAAATGGGAGATAATATATTAAAACTTAAAATAACTAATGATTTTACTTTGTAAAACTTTGAAAAAATAAATATATTACTCCAATTATTTAAGCTTTTTAATATATGACTACTTATTTAAATTTAATTCTTAAATATAAAAAAATATCCAAGTACTTATTTAGTACTAATAAAGTACCAAAGATATATAAGCATCTCTACAACTATAAGTGGCGACCTTAAAGATTGCAACAAAATTAAAGCACCACTTGTAGTAGCGACCAGATCGCCGCAATTGACCTTTTGTGGCGACAAGTTATCAGTCGCCACAAATAGTTTTCCAGCCATATTTTATTAGTAAAAGTATTATGTATTAGTTGCGATATAAGCATAGTCACCACCGATATTTTATAATCTGTAGCGACAAAAAGGTTCGCCGCAAAAACTACAATCTTTTGTGGCAATATTTTTTGGTCGCCACTAAAAGCCCTGCTTTTGTAGTAACTAGGTTAGTTGCCACAAATGGTCGGCTTAATAAATCATATTTCTTGTAGTGAAAGTTACTGCCTTGTAAAGATGTACAAGTATCAATCATGAGGAGCTGATTCTTTTTCCTGAGGAGCTGGTTCTTCAGAACAGTTAAGCAGCTACGTTAAGGACCTGGTTCTTTGAATATTTAGTCATACTTTGTTAATCATGAAAACTTCAATACTCAACAAATTCCCCCTTTTTGATGATGACAAACTTTGTACACGGCAGAACCAGGTAATCACATCAAAGAACCAAATAATCACAACAAGTACTCTTGACAAACATGTATGTTCACAACCCACAACCTTCCAACCTTATCTTCCCCCTTTTGGCATCATCGAAAACACAAAAAAATATATATTAGAAATTAAGCACAGATAATGTAAGATTCAAGGCCGAACAGGCTACAACACAATCTTAAGAAAAGGAAAATAGACTAGGTTGATGATCCAATATATTTCAAAGCAGTAAAGCAGAGCAATAGGAGACATTAAGTAGTGCCAAAAGAAGCCCAGAGCCTTGTCATCATTAGAACAAAATAAACTAAGCATACTGCAGACTACTCAGACTAAGACAAAAGAAACAAAAGATAAGGCAACAGTAGAATGACAAAAGAACTAAGGACACTGGGAAGGAACAAATTCAAGGGTTAGAGGCGGATGGAGTCAAAGCTTTCACAAGGGTAGCAATCTGTTGAGCATGGGCCTCCCTGTCTCTTCGGAGCTCTTCCCTGAGTTTCTTTGTTTCCTTTCTCAACTCATTATTGTCTTCACGAAACTTGGCATTCTCTTCAACAACCAACTCCAACCTCTAGCTGAGTTCTGCAACCCTACTGCTCCCGGGAAGAATGGCAGATCCTATGGGTCTTCTAGCCTTGATCTCCTCATAGCCATACTGCTTAAGGGTAACAGAATTCAAAACGTCATTGCGGTTTCCAAACTTAATCTTAGGTAAGGCAATGTTGAGCTTGTCAAATAGTTCAGTCAACATAAAACCATATGGCATAGCATGCTTTGGTTTGGAAGCATCTATAGCTCTTGCCATGTGCTGAATCATCAGGCTAGGAAGATTGATAGGGCGACCACTGTCAAGCAGCTACATCAGAGCCATGTCCAGCTGAGTAGCTTCATGCCTTCTCTCAGACTTCTGAAGAATGCAGGAGTTGACAAACTGAAACAGTAGCTTGTGAAAGTGAGTCATATTAATCTTGTACACTTTTTGGGGAGCATCTAGTTCAAAATTTGGGGAGAACTTCCTGGTGACCACAATGCCAGTGTCAACATCATTGTTTATAGCTAGCTACTTCTTCTTCAAGTACTTGTCAAATCCCAAAGAAGGGATATTCAGAAGCAGCCCCAGCTCCCCAGCATCAGACTCCATGTCAAAGCCCCCTACTTTAACTACCTTCCTATCAAATGTGAAATTTGTGTAGAACTCCACCACAGCAGGAACACATACTGGGGGGGGGGGGCGCTTTGACAAACATGTGCTTCCACCCCTATAGATCAAGTTTCTCAACTAGTTGAGCCATCCCCTTGTCATCAGTGTTCGCAAGGATCTTCCCATTTAACACTTTTATGTTCCCGAACTTTGTGAGTCGATCAACTACAACTGTCATATTCTTTCTTGTCTTACCCCTACTTGCTCTTGCAGAAGAGGTAGTAGGTTTGGTGACTTTGGCACCCCTTTTCTTTGATGTAGCAGACTTTCATGGCAAGGCAAAGTCAGATTCATCTTCTCCATCCGCTTCAACAGGTTCCATAATTGCAACCTTCTTCTTTGGCTTATTTGCACTTCTCGACTCCTTCATGATTTGTGCATCAACAACCTTTCTTTTACTACTTGTGAGGGGAGTTCTAGCAGGAGGAACCACTCCATTGCTTGTTCGAACTGCTGACTTTGTAGCTTTCACAGTGGTCTTCCTGGACTTCTTCCCTACCTCAGATAGTGGCATATTATCTTCATCACTGCTAACTTCTTCATCTCCAGTGAAAGGAGTTAACAAAGACCAGGTTCTTGAGCCCTTGTCTTTTCATCAATTTCTTCTGAAGGGGCTATGACAATGTTTCCAATTGTCATGGAACCTTCCGATTCCTCACTGACATTCCCCTCTTCTTCCTCACTTTCGTCATTACCTCCTTCACTCTCACTTACCTTTTCCTGATCCTCACCCTCACTTTCAGAAACCTCATTTTCTTCACTCTGATTTTCTTCTTCTGCAGAATTATTAGCCTGTTCACCTGTCTTATCCTCTGTATCATTCTCCTTCTCATCTCCAGATACTCCCTTATTCTCACTCTTTTCTTATTCATTGGGTATGTTTTGAGCATCATGTTCCTCATGAGTGTTCACAACTTCTCCTTCTTTTTCACCTTCATCACCTTCCTCATCCTCAGTGCAACTAAAATCAAGGTCATCAGAAGCCTCCTTTTGCACTAATTCTTTATGTCCTTCCCCCCAACCACAGGCTCCACAGCCGTTGGATCTACCTCCTTTCCTAGATCCCCTGCACCCTTCTCTACAGTGAATTTCTCCACTGGTGGCTTCTCACTCGTTGGTGGGAGAGTATCTAGGGGTGAAAAATCTATAGCAAAAACCAAAACATCTAACTTGGAAGTAGGATGTGGTACCTGATCAGTAGTGCCTAACATTGATTTCCCCTGAATCACAGATTCCTTGAATATAGTCACCCTACATAGCAGCCTCAGGAACTTTCTTGACAGTTTTTCTTGGAGTTGCTTTGACCTTTGTTAACTTAGAGGTATTTTTTGTAGGAAGCTCAGGTGCATGGGTAGTTTTTTGAAGGAGGGGGTACAGTGGATGTGGGAATGATAGGAACAACATGAACAGTAGGAACATGGGAGGATGAGGTAGGAATAGTGGAGGATATCGAAGGAAAAGGAGCAGGTGTAGGTTTTATTGAAGGCTTGTCATTTTTCTTCGATTTGGGCTTTAAGATTTTGGGTTTTGCTTCAGACTTGGTTGATGATTTAGGTTTAAAGGGTGTTTTACTGGCTTTAGGCATGGTGATCAGATGAGAGATTCAAAGAAGAGAAATAAAGGATTAGTTCTTGATAATTGCTTTCAATTTTTGCTTAGGGTTTGAGAGAAATATTGAGGTTAGAGAAGTTGATCATAAGAGTCTTAAAGGAGTTACTCCTGATTTGACTGGAAGAGAGAAGGTGACTGAATTTAAGTTCTAACGGGACTCTTATAACAATTACTTTGACATTAAGATTTTCGGGAGTAATTGATCTCTAATTGCACAAGGATTCCCCCTTACTTTTTGACCAGAAGACGATTAGAAGTGATTCTAATGGAATTAAAAGCCTGAGTATAGCAATAATTTTAGAATATAGAGCCCTAGTGATTTAAGACAGTATGGCACATACCTGAGTCAAAGAACCAACTCCTTAGCAACTCCTTATTCGGTTCTGCAATAAAGCTTCAGCACTTCATATTAGTATCATGCAACACAGTTATCAGCCAAATTTTCTAAGCAAGTGTGTGAGCTCAATACAAGCACAAAGCTGAATCAAACACATTGTACTTAATTATCTATATCTTGTTAAGCCTCTTTAACCAATCACTAGGAGTCAACTTAGTGGGAGGAGTTGATTAGACCTAGTTCTAGACTATTCCTTCCAAAGTGATCCCTACTTAGAGCTTTAGTAAAAATATCAGCAATTTGATCTTCAGTTTTACAAAAGTTAATTGAGATATTCCCCTTTTCAACATTGTCTATGAGAAAGTGATGTCTAATGTCAATGTGCTTGGTTCTTTTGTGCTGACATGGATTTTTAGCAATGTTTATGGCACTGGTGTTATCACAGAGAATGGGAACACAATCAACATATACCATAGTCCCTTAGCTGTTGTCTTATCCAGAGTAACTGAGCACAACAAGATGCTGCTGTCACATATTCAGCCTCAGTTGTAGATAAGGCCACTGAGTTTTTCTTCTTGGTTCCTCAAGACACCAGACAAGAACCTAGAAAATGAGCTGTTCCTAAAGTGCTTTTCATGTCAACTGGAAAACCTGCATAGTCAGCATCAGCATAACCAACTAGATCAAAGTTGTACCCTCTGGGATACCATAGATAGAGGTCAGGGGTCCCCTTGAGATATCTTAGTATCCTTTTGGCAACCTTCAGGTGAGATTCCTTGGGATTTGCCTGAAATCTTGCACATAATCCCACACTAAACACTATATCAAGCCTGCTTGCTGTGAGATACAACAGTGACCTAATTATTCCTCTATATAGTTTCTGCTCCATACTTTTCCCTTCTTCATCAATGTCCAGTTTTGTTTCAGTTGAAATGGGTGTGTCAATGGACTTAGAGGAATCCATGTTGAACTTCTTCAGTAGTTCTTTGATATATTTCTGTTGATGTATCATGGTTCCAGTAGGTGTGCTTGATTTGCAGCCCCAGAAAGAGATTCAATTTACCCATCATGCTCATTTCATACCCATTTCCCATCA